GAAAAACCTATGCTCTTTGGCTACCATGAATTGTCCTTATCTTTGGCAAGATACTTCTTTTGTCCATATGTTTCTCACAAAGGAGATCGTGACTAGTTTTCCTTGGAAATAAGTAAATCCTTCTCTTATAAGTTCTGTGTATACATGAAACTTGTGAAAGAATTTTAAGATGGCAGAAACCATGTGCAGGGCTTTGCCTCTCTACATATAGCTGCTCTTTTTCAAGGGATCTAATATAGTTTTGTTCAGTTTACCCAAATTTGATAAAATTGTAGTAGTTCAATGAATGCTGCCAGGCAGTGCTCGGTGTGGAACAGTCACTGCAGCCAAGGGTGTATGCAAGGTGTAACACAGCAGTAACCCATGAGCATGCCAGAACTCAGCAGCAGCTGAGCATGCTGAGGCAGGACGTGCATTGTGCCATGACTAATTGCATCATCAGTGTGCATTGTTCAATAATTAGTAAATTCTGATAGGGATTTCTATTTTAAGTGATCTCTTCACTGGTGTTTTGTTGTTCCATTAAAAAAAATTTGTTTCATCCAAAGCATTGTGCACAGCAGGTTGAGAGAATTGATTTTGCCCCTCTGCTCCACTCTGGTGGGACCCCACCAGCACAGGAAGGACATGGACCTTTTGCAGCAGGTCTAGAGAAGAGCCCTGAGGATGGTTAGAGAGATAGAGCACCCCTTGTGAAAGCAGAAACACAAACTGAGAGTGTTGAGGCTGTGCAGCCTGGGGAAGAGAACTTATTGTGGCCTTTCAATACTTAAGGCTTAGAAGAATGATGGGGACCAACTTTTTAGAAAGGCCTGTTGCAATAGGACAGGGGTAATGGTTTAAATTAAAAGAGGTAAATTCAGATAGATGGGTAGATATAAGGAAGAAATTTTTCACAATGAGGGTGGTGAAATACTGGAACAGGTTGCCCAGAGAGGTGGCAGATGCCCCATCCCTGGAAACATTCAAGGTCAGCGTGGAGGGGCTCTGAGCAGCTTGGTGTAATGGAAAATGTCCCTCCTTATGTTGGACTAGATGACCTTCAAAGGTCCCTTTCAACCCAAACTGTTGATTCTATGATTCTATGATATGTACATTTCATGTGTGTGATTGTTTCAGGAAGGCTAAAAGAGGTGAAAGAGAGGAGAACAGTGTGAAAGTCTTCACACCATGTTGTCTATTGAGAGTGTCAGGGACCAACCTGTTCCTTGCACATTTTTCTGAGCCTTGCTAGGATAAACATAGGGACTACATAGACTGTAGATACTGGCAGATTAATTATTCAGAGAATTTCCAGGAAGAGCAGGAGGTTTTTAATTTTTTTTCATTCGTAGAACTCAAGATTGGCTAATGCTTTGTAAGATTTGTGTTAGCCAAGCACAAACTACTAGACTTAATAGAGGGAAATAGCTGAGTGAGATATTTGGATTGTGGTTCAGTTAATGATATCCTTACTGTATTCATCCAGCATGTTGGCCTTTTCTGGGATTGGAAAGGAAAGCTAATGGTGCAGGGACTCTCATAAATCCTTACCAACTGGTTTAGAGAAGAGGCAAGGAACTTCAGAATGCATAATATCCCTGGTGGAAATAAAAATGCCCCTGTTGGTGAAAACCAAAATGCAAGTTTCATGTAGCTACAAGAGCAATTTCATCCGAAGTTAGTGCCTGATTCTTCTTTTCTAGGCAAAAATTTAGATTTTTCCATTATCATGGAAATGCCTAATGGCATCTCAACAAATAGCATTGTTCCAGAAAGTTCTGAACACATTTACTGCAAAGCAGGAGCAGTGTGTTCCAAGTTATCTTGTTCCATGCTTCTCTATGGAGCAAGAGTCCTTACATATTGTCACTTAGGAGCAGCTCCTGTTTAGACAAACCCCCAAGAAAACTGTTCTGGTATGCATGCTTGTAAATACAGCTTTTATTTGTTGTAAGTATGAGTAAGGGTCATGGATATAAATCTGTAAATACTAAAGGCTTGCATACGCCTGTTAACCTGCACAGGCAATTGCTCAAATGCTCTGGGTCTGGCTCACAGTGTTTTCCTCAGATAGGGCAGACTGTGGCCTCACATGCAAAATCTGACAGGTAATCTTGGATAATATATGGAATTATGTATGGGTGAGGTAGTGGTACCCACAAAATGTTTTCCTGGTGTTAAGCTATTATGTTGCAGAAAACGGGTCAACATTTCAAAGGCTTGTTGAATCGAGGTGTCCCCCTGTCACCCCTTGTTTGCCTCTCTTCTCCCCTTTCTTCTCTCAAACTGGTCAGGGTTTGTCAGTCAGCTAATTCTCCTGAGCAGCTCTTGAGAAAAACTTCTAAGTGAGAAAAATGTGTTTGATCTCAAGTTAGGTCTTTTTCAGTCATCATGCAGACTAGCTGACATAAAATGATTAACATTACTAAAAGGGAAAACATCAAGGACTTTGGGTGAGAAGCCTGCTTCTCAATGCCAAGGGATAAAAGATTTACCAGTTCACTTGAGCATTGTGTATAATTGTATTCACTGGTACATTTTATTCCTTTTTATTCCATTTAATTTGGCTTCTGATAAATACTTCTGAGCACAGACACATTTTTTTAATTCCTGCCTGAACTTTTGATTGGCACACAGCAATATATACTGAATAATTTTACCTGAAGCTTCTATATTTGTAGTTTACACTAGGTACAGTGTCAATTTATTAAGGTACTTCTCCTCCATAGAGTTTGATTTTTAGAAGATTTTTAGAGGTGAGGGAGCCTTGACAAAGAGAACAGCGCACACCACCAAAGAGAAACTCTGAATTCCTTTTTGTGTTTGTTATTCCAGATATATAAGCCTAGACATAACTCAATATGCTCATAACTAGTATAGACTGCAGAAGAAATTCTCACATTCACGTGGAAATTCACGTTTGTTAAGGGTTATATGGTCATGGGGTTTTTTTTGACTTAATGATTTCGTATCCTCTTAGCAAATTTGTAATCACTTTAACAAGTGATTAGAAATAATTCAGGTCATGAAATATCTATGAGTTTTATAAATATAGACAAAAAGGTATACAGACAGATCATTTCTCTGAGTGAGGAAAAAGATTGTAGTTGGAACCTGTGTCTTTTGACATGATGGAGGAATTGAAATATTTATAAGCCCACCAACTGCAGGAAAACGTGCAGTTGGAATTTAAGACATAAATGCTCGTTTCTGGGGCTCTTGACTACTGATGTGTTTGTGAAATGTCAGACCAGTCCTGGTATACTCCTATGGAGCATGTGGACAAAAAATTTTGTAGAAGAGGTTTTCTCTCTTCTATCAGATCAGCTCCATCCATTTAGACTTACACTGCTGACTGGAACTGAATTGAGCTGTCTACTTTTGTATTATACACACTTTTTCTAGTTTTGTTCTTGCAGGTTATTGTGTGACATAAAAGCAGATGAGCATTAACAAGACCTGGAATGTATTTTAATTGTAAAGCTCCATCAGACTTACTGATAATTGCATGTTCTGTAATTAAAATTGTGAATGCTTTTCTTTCTAAGCATAGCGACAGCTGTTATAGCGCATCTGGAAAATATGCTTTAAGCAAAAGTATTTTAGCTCAGAGAATTTCACAATCTGTGGGATATTTACCAGCATTTCTTTCCAGAATACTGATCTGATTTATCAGTATTTTTAATGTAAAAGTCTTGCTATTTTTTTTTTTTTAAAATCTGGTTTTGAATTCACATCCCAGACTGGCAATTCCAGTGTACTTCAAGGCTAAGTGCTGCAGAACAAAGCATTGCTTTGCTCCTCTTTTTCTGTAGAAGCCTACAAAAGTCTTGTATGATGCCCTAATAAGATTTCCTTCATTGATTTCAGCCAAATATTTTCCCTTTTTATTATTTTAAAGAGAAATTATTGTTCCATACTGGAATGTCATTGAGAGGAAAATTTCTCATACTTCTGCTCTGTGCTTCTTGAGGCTCACATTAACACCCTTCTGTGCTACTAGCCTTGTACCACCTACAATTATTATAGCGTTACTTAGGACTCTTTGCAGTCAGTGAGAGTGTTTATAGGTAGGATCCTGGCCACTTGGACATAAACAGCAGTGTTTCTGTTTATGATAGGAGCCCAAGCATTGTCATTCCTGTGCTTTCCTCAGAACTGTCGTATAGACATTACAAAACTAGTTTTCTGATATGATTCATTAAAATGAAACAAAAAAGCATAAAACTTCAAACAACTTTAAAGCCTTCTATCTGCTAATTTATTGCTATTGTTGCTTATTTTGTTCATTTGGGAAAAAGTGATTAAACATAAAGATGCAGAACCTCAGAACCTCAAGGTATTACTCTAATCAGGATCTTGCATTCTGACCCAAGCATCTCAATCAACTTGCTTTCAGGATGATGAGGGAGATTTTGTAAACAGAGGACACTTGTCAACAGATGCCTAAGCAAGAAATCAGTTTCCTTTATTTGGCGTAGAAGGCAACTTTTTAATGATAGATTACATTGTGTTGGAGCAGCTTCACACTTGAATTTTAAATTATAAGTGCTATCCTTGTGCAATTGGAGACAAAATGCAGTTACCCAACCAAGGGAGAAGCTACAGCTGCAAAAACTAATGAGATTAAAAAAAAAATTACAGCAGTGATACTATAAAATAGTATGGAACACATTAGTGGTAATGTGGGAAAATTAATTCCAAATTATTGACAGTTTAACTGACCTACAGGAAGTATTGTAATGGACTTAATATGCTGTGCTGTTCTTCAGTTTTTTAAACTTTTCCACTGAGCAGAAAACAAGTTTTTCCCATTATAGGGTTTAAAGTTGTAAAAAACGGTTGCTGTGTGTTCCCTGGTTCTGAGAAGCCAGCACTGGATGTGTGACTTTTCTGCCCAGCTCCTGCAAAGCCCATCCTGTGAGCAGGGCATGGGTGCCACTGCTCTGCTCTCATCCCAACCCTGCTGTTACAGGGGCTCTTTGCAAATGATACTTACAAGCTGATTTGACCCCCAGGCTCCGACTGCATGAAGAAAAGGTCATTAAGGATCGGAGACACCACCTCAAAACGTACCCAAACTGCTTCGTTGCCAAAGAGCTGATTGACTGGCTGATCGACCACAAAGAGGCCTCTGACAGGGAGACAGCCATTAAACTGGTGCAGAAATTACTGGATCACAGCATTATCCACCATGGTAAGTGCAGCATCACCTGCTAAAAAAGTTCTGAGATAAATTTATTGACTGCTGTGAGACAAACTGAAATCCCACTCCTGCTCTTCAGCCAAGTATAGGACAGGTAGGATCCTTTTCCTGCCAGAAATGGAGCATCTCTTTTGAACTGTGCTGCTGTGCAAGGTCACCTGTGTCCTGAAGGAGATGAGAGCCTGAAGAGGTGTGGAGTGATGTTCCCCATGGCAGGGGGGAACTTACTGGAGACTGTGATGTTGCTTCCCTGTCTCCAGAGAAGCCCCAGCTGGATCATGTCCCCCTTCTCCCTGCTGCCTAAGAGTGCAGTTCTCCAGCTGAAAAACCCATCTGAAAAATCAGCCAGCAAAAAAAAAAGATCATTTTTCTCACGTGGATTAGTTCCCTGGCCCTGGCCCTCACAGCAGCTGCACAAACATTAGTGCTGGTACAGCTGCAAGAAAGTTAGTGGTCTGGCTGTGCCTTGATTAATTTTCTCCTAAACTTGTTGTCTGTTTGAGATCTGTTCCTTTCAGCTTCTTGAATAACAATTCATGTTGATGAAAAGACTTCCAATTCACTGGTAGCATTTAGTTGCCTTTTGGGGCACAAAGAGGCTGAGAAGCACATGAGCAAAGAAGATCCAAGGCCTCAAATTCAAGCCTATAGTATTACCCATTTTAAAACAGCAAATGTACCATTTGTTTCTTTTTCAAGAGAAAACTGAGTGACTACAAACGGATGAATGTTGACTTTATGCAGAGGTCGTTGTATGTGCAGAAATGCTGCTGCTGTCTGCAGTACATTAACAACACCTTAATTAAAGTCAGAAATGCACATATTGAATGAGTGCCACTTCTACAGCTTCTGCTTGGCTATTAAATGAAAATTCTGGGTTGTTATGGAAACTGGGACTCACAGTAGATAGTTAAAGAATAAAGTAATTATAGGTTATTCAAATCTGTCTACTTAATCCTCTATTGAGAAAATGTCAGTGAAGAGTTGCGTGGATGCCTGAGTGACTTAATTTAATTGAGCAATAGATATTTTATTACTGAATGCTTGTTGAAAGCTCTAACGACCTTCAAGCATTTTCTATCCTAGCATCCAATTGCAAACTGCAGAAGAAATTTTATATGTATGGGTGTGTATATATTAGAAATGGAACAGGTGTTTCTTGAAAATGTTCATGTGTTGCACTCTAATAAAGTACATTGTGAAGTGAGCTTGAGCAGGTAGATTCAGAGAGGTTCTGCAGGATGCTTAGAACATTCTTTCAAATCCTATGTCAAGTGAAAGGGACACCAGTTCCTGCTTCTGTGGTGCAGAAGGTCCTCCATGTGTATGGGTTGATAACTCTGTTAGGAGCAGCTAGCTTGGGAGAGCTTTCCCCTCAGTTTATGCCCTTGATGGGGCTCTGTTCTGCATTTAAAAGAGCCTATGATCAGCTGCTCTTTTACAAACCTAATTTGGCATTTCTCAGTGTGCTCATGTTGTGTCTACCATTTGCTAGCTGCCATGGCAGAGCACTTGAGACAGTTTTAAGAAGGCAGAAGGCTTTAGTTTTAACTGTTTATTTAGGAAGTCTCAGGCTTCCTACAGCACTGCTAACTGATACAAATAACTTTAAGAAGTTTGGCAAACCTTAAATTATTGGGCATTCTATTTTGGTGGCCTTTTAAACAAATAAGCTAATAGACTGTTTTCATCAAAAGGTTTTCTGGGTATGTAGTGGATGGATGCTTTTTTGCTCTTTATGTTTGCACTAGTACTCACAAAACTGAAGGACCCTTCTTCCCCTCATCAAGAAATTTGGTTACTTCTCTGAAAGTTTTCTCCAGCCTTTCATTAGAATGGAGTAAAGTGTGCTGAGAAATACAGAGGGTTAGACTCTACATATGCTTGCTTAGAACCTCAGCAGTGGTGCCTGCTAAATGAGTCCTCAGCTACTTAACATGTACGTGAAGATTTTTTTTGTTGTTGTTGTTTAATTATTTTATGTTTCAGTCTGTGATGAGCATAAAGAATTCAAGGATGTCAAACTGTTCTACCGCTTCAGAAAAGATGATGGGACGTTTCCACTGGACAATGAGGTGAAGGTGTTCATGAGAGGACAAAGACTCTATGAAAAGTATGTTGCATTCAGTACTCATAATATGTTGATAATAGTGTCACTTGAGGCAAATGATACTTTTTGAATCGTCAGAGGCTTTCAATTCATGCAGGAATGGGTCTGGGCAATTCCATTACATCAGTTGGGAGGCCTTCCCTCTCCTATTTTTCTTTTGCTTTTCTACCATATTCACTTGAGGCATTTTGTTTAAAATCTGATGCCCCAGATTGTAAATACATCCTATATGAAAAGTCAATGTGAATTGAAGCCCTTGAAATCTATTCTGTTAAAATACAGTATTATTTGTCAAAATAAGTCAAATAATTACATTATTATTTGATATGTAAAAGCATAATTATAATTCCTGAAACATTAGTACACCAAAATGCATTCAACAAGCAGTTACATGTTTGTGGAGACTCCGTATCTACAGCTTCACAGGGAGGTACAATTTTAAATCACAGGTGAGATGAATCTTCAGTGTTCCAGTCTGCAAAGTTCAAACACCAGAAAAGTTATGTTAAAAGAAATTTCAAAAAAAACCACCAACCTAACCGAGAGCATCTAATTATGACTTTAAACAGATTATTATGCTGAGATACTGAATATCCCACTGAATTACTTCCATCAAGTAACTAAGTATCTTAACTATACTTCCTAATATAAAATTAAAGACATTTTTATTCAGGATGTAGAGATTTTGACATAGTACTTTTAAGCAGAGAGAAGAAAATGCATGTTGGCATATGCTACAATTTAATGAAAAATTTGTGATGTGTTATTTACAAAAAGCTTGAAGTATTGCTCTAGACTGAATTCCACCCACTCTTCTGCTTGCTTGGAGCAGAAGTGTGCAGCAGCCAGGAGAGATGCTGTGTTTTCTTGATGAAGGAAATTTGTTTGAAGATTTGAATTTGTGAGAAGAAAGCACTCAGGAAACTCCCAAGTTTAAAAGCTGATAATAAATACTATTTTCAAGATTAGCCAGTTCAGTTTGGTGAAAGTGCAGTGAACCCAAAATATAAACAAATACTTGTAAATCCCACTCCTCTTGTTATACCCATCATATAAAATTCCCCAAGACACAGTGACTGTAACTATTTAAAGTAAAAATATAATAAATTGTATAAGAAATGCATCACTGGAGAAAATCCTCCATTCTATGCACTGGGACAGGTGAAATGAATCAGATACCTTCAAACTCTTCTGTGCCTTAATAAGCACAACATTTGCTGTTTAGACTCAGTAAATATGCAGTGTCTAGATACCTGACCCATACTCTGAAAAGCAGATTAGAGTGTCTACAGTAATTTTTTTAGTCTATATTTCTATTTCAATTATCCATAAGAAAAATAATTTTTTGTTGGCAAGGCTGATGTCAGTCGTCTGCCATGAAAGGAGCCATGCTATAAAGACCTCTGTTCTATCAGTGTCTGGTTCCATCACCGTTTCTCTGAGTGGAGAACTATCCCCAGAGCAATGTCTGTGATCCAGTTTGTCTAACACTGTACTAGCAGAAAAACATTCATAACTGTAGAGAGTGTTCCCATCTTGGCAAAGACGTTAACGCCAAAAGCAGCACCTAAATCTAAATATAGCTGCGTCCTCGTGAGGTGCTTGCTCCTAGGCAACATGTCTGAAGGGTTCAGAAACTTTTAAACCCAGCCCTGAGTGCTAAATATAGTATAAATTAAAAATACCTGTCATTTCAAAACCAGTTTGTGACAGTCAAAGCTAGTAAAAATTCTCCATGGATCATGTGAAGTATTTTATATTCATAGGAGATAAGAAGGCATACCTGGGCTATCTGGGCTTCACTTTGTTTATTTTAACAAATCCCCTGTGCAGAGATTTCAGATTCTGTTAGTTCCCTTGCCCGTGCACCTTTATTAGCAGCACCGTCACAGTTTCATTGGCTACACTTTAAACTCAAAATCTAATACTGAAAGTCAGGAAGAGTTCTGCAATGAAATGTTTGATTGTGTAATATGTCTCTTGTATCAGTTTGCTGATAGTCCTGAGAAAGAAAATATTAATTCAGTGCTATTAAAATATTTACTAAATGGCAAGCAGAGAAAAGTATTCGTGCACAAACATTAAGTCACTTACCAGCGTATTCAACTTGTTTATCAAAATGCCTATGGGCCTGATTACAAGAGAAATGCAGCTATGCCAAAGGAAATCTATCCAAATCCAACACATTTTGAAAATCTGTGTCCAATTTTGTAGAGTTTGCCAATCTTCACTAGGCTTTGCTAATTTAAGACAGGCATTATGATTATTTCCTGCTCTTTTCCACTCTCTGCTTAGGACTGGAGTATCAGTAGATTCAGAAGCCAACGTGGTTTGTGCTTGCCAAAATTGCAGACATTACCCAACATCAGTCCATGCAGATTTGTATCCTCAGTGGGTAAAATGAACAAAATGCTTTAGGAGGATCAGCAGATTGTTGCATGGGAAGGGGCATGGATGTCTTAGGCAGATTCCTTACATTCAGACAGCTGTTTTGGGTAAATGCTTTGTTCTCTGCCCTGGGACATGGGTACATTAAGACTGTCCCTCTGCTGAGGAGATCCCTTTCCTGTCTCTCTTCTGCATGACCACAAAGCTCCTCATAACCTGAACTCACCTTTCTTGTGCATTGCCCCCTTCACCTACTGTGGGCATCTTTGGTGGCTGTACCTGTGGGATCAGGAGATCTAAAATCAGTCTCTGATTGTATTCTCCCTCTATTTGCACTGAAAATCATGAATCAGTTCAGATTCCCTGCACATCATTGCAAACTTTGGTAATCCTTTCTGTGAACATGCTTTAGGTTCAGGTGTATAACTAGAGGTGAAAACTACTGGATTTCCTACAGTCTTGTCTGAAATGTTGAATAGTTTATAAGTTCTAAGGTTGGTATCAGCATTCGAGCTCTACAGCACTGACCAAATAGATTGAATGAGAGAAACATGTTTCCTGTTCAACAAAACTCTCCCTGCAGATCTTATATAATCCAGCACAGACCTTTCATAGCTTTAAAAAAAAAAAAAATCAAGTTGTGCAGGCATCCTATTTTTATGACGTTTGCAATTCTCAGTAGGGTTTGGTCAGGCACAAAAGATGTTGTTTCTGGTGCAGTCATTTCTATATAGGAGCTATAAGTCATTTCATGATGCTGACATCAACTGAGATTTTGGAACCAGATTTCACAGTGAGAGAAGTGTAGGTTTATGGTTTTAATTTCAGGAAATCTTTCAGATAATTTTGAGAATGCATTCTTGGAATCACTTTCAGTTTAACTCATCAGTTGAGTTGCTTTTATCATCTGGTGCAGTTATTTTGATAAAAACAAGGTTAAAGATTTCTTTTGAGCTTGAATTTCAGTGTTTAGCTAAATACATTCCTTTAATGCAGGATAACACCAGTTACAGCAAATTTTCGACATTAATAGCCTCACATTTTTTTTGAACAAGGAGAAAATGGAAGAGTAAGAGGAAGTTTCCAGTTCTGCCTAATGAAAGGCCAGGTTTTTGATTGATGTAAATTGGTACAGTTTTGTTGACAGCGATGGAGTTACAGTGATTTAATTCAGTGAGTGATGTAACTCCATGGATTGCTGTGTCTGGACTTCTTAAATTGGCAATTTGTCGTGTCTGTTTGTTCACAAGTCCAAATCCTTCGCAGTGCTATTCTGGGCTTATGCAGAAGTGTGTGAAATGTCAAACTGAGTGTTTTTCCACTTGATATTTTTCCAGATTTCTTTTGTGTCTCTGTAAAAATCTAACCATTAGCACTGCCTTTTCAAGGACCTTTCTATCTGTGACTTCAATGAGGCAGTCAACTAATTATAGACCCATCAAAGAACAATTAACGTAATCCTAAGGGTTTTTTATTTGGTGCCTGCAGAGCCTGGGTAACCAGTTCTGGGTAACCATGCAGCAGATGGTACAAAAAGACACAAGCTTTGGGTTTGCTTTTTTTTCTTGGGGGTAAAAAGCCAGGTGAAAGAGACACATTTAAAGATGTAGGTTTTTATGAGATGTGGTGAGTGTGGGACAAAATGCTGTGGGACGAGATGCTTGTAAATTAAAATATTAAAAAAAGAATAAAGCCTGCAAGAGTTCTGGAGTCAATACGTTGTCCTAATTTTGACTTTCTCAGTTCTTACTCAGCTCAGAGATGCTGGCAGTGACACACCATCCAAATGAGCAGTTCACTGACACACAGCTGTGGCTGAGCAGCCTTTGCCTGGTTTGATGATCTGCTACCTGGTAGTCAGATCCAGTAGGTTCAGGCTCCAGGTCAGTGCTCATTAAAGTCAAGAGAAGAGTATTTTAGGTGAAATATCAGAGGTTGGAATCTGTCAAACCTCTTCATTGTAATTTCAAATGAAACTTCTCTCTGTGTTCCTGTGGCACAGATTTTTCTGATGCTTCTTGAAGGAGGTAAAGTTATATTCCATAATCTCTGGACATGCTGTCAGTTTAAGAAGCAGATGGCTCATGTATGGATTTACTTGAATTTCAATTCCTTTATCAGAAGGGCAGTGATTAAGCACTTCCAGAATATGCCTGTTGTAGTTCAGATGTGCCCCTATTTCAGAACAGTTGGTGAAGGGAGGGGAACCTGTTAGTCTTACATGGAAAAAAATAACTTTTCCATTCTTGAAATGTTACTCTGAAAGTCTTCCACTAGTCCTATTATTTGCCTATAATAAATAAAATAGTTAGGGAAAAAATTAGGTTAGTAAGGATGCTGTAGTGCTCTGTGTCCCCCCCAAAAAGTGGAATTCTGTTACAAAGAAACAGTTCTCATTTCTTCTTTAAAACTGTCTTCTCTTTCAGATTTTCAAACTGGCTTTTGCATTAACAAAATATTGAGGCTTTTTTTTTAAAAGACTGTGTTATTTGCATAGGTATCTTGAATAGAGACAAATTTTATTAGTATCCTTCAGCCACTCATATGCCAGTTGCTAGGAGATTTAGAGACATCTCTTGATGTTCCTCTGACTGGTGCTACACAGAGCCAGCTGAGGCACAGAGAACTGTGAGCCTCAGATGTTAAAATATGTTCAGGTTCATATGTGACTCACTGACTGCAGCTGCATCACCAAATGTTGGATGCACAATATTTATCCGCCCCCAAATCACAGAACTACCTTTTTTCCTCCTCTTGAATTTTTCTGCAGCTGTTTTAGAGCTTATAGAGAGAATTTTCAAAGTCATCTAAATGACTTCGGGGCATAGTCCTGCTAACTGTAAATATTAATTAGGAAGCTTTGAACACATTAGTCACATTCTGGTGCTTTTAGGTTAATTTTTTTTCAAAGCTGATTATACAGTAACTTTTAGAGAATGTTGAACACTAAATAGGGGAAATACGAAACCTAAAAATCTGATTTTCTTTTAGGGGAAAAAAACAAGAAAGCATCAACTTCACACAGGGATATAAAGCCTACATTTCTTGACTAAGCAGTTTTAATTCACTTCCTAAGTAGATTGATAGCTTGAAGAAAGATTTAGTAAGTCAGTGAATGTTGCTGTCTGCTATAAGGAGCGGCGCAGAAACCTCAAGAACACAGCTTCTTCTCAAAGGTAGAAAGAAGCAGATTTATTGTAGAAGTACACACATTTTATAGACTGCTTCACTGAACCAAGATTAAAGTCAGCTTATTGGTCCTAGGAAGGCAACACCTCTTACAAACATGCTTTTACCAAAACATCACATCTCACAGGCATGCATCCTGTAAACAACAGCAGGTGCATTTTTGTTATTAATTCTTTCCTTTCTGTTTTCCTTCAAGCACCTGGGAAAACAGAGTTTTCTCCCATATCCACAAGTGAAAGCTTCCTATACGTTTGCTTGATATAAATGAAATTTGCCAGAATAGATCTGGAACTGCTTTTCTGAAGAACCATTTTCCCTACCAATTTTCCCCCCCACCACACCAGGCTGATGAGTTCTGAGAACACCCTTCTGCAAGCCAGGGAAGAGGAAGGAGTCAAGTACGAGCGGAGCTTTGTAGCCTCGGAGTTCATGGACTGGCTGGTCCAGGAGGGAGAGGCAGCGACACGGAGCGAAGCGGAGCAGCTCGGCCGCCGGCTGCTGGAGCACGGCATTATACAGCACGGTGAGAAATGCACTGCCCAGCAGCAAAACTGCACTCGCTGGAGCACTTCCTTCAGCCCAAATCACGTGGAAGGGCCCTTGTCTTCCTGATCACAGTATGCTTAGGTTCTAAATGATTTCAGATAGGAGTCTAAGTGACTTTATTTAGTCAAAAGGTGGCTTTTTCACAAGCGCATTGTATTAGTTCTGAAAATGCTTCCTCAAATGCAGAATATGGTTGGAATTTGGAACTTACAAGAACTAAAAATTTGAAACTAATAACAACTTAAGGATGTGGCTGAAAATCAGTGCTCCTACACTTGTAGTAATTAACTAGTAGAACTTGCTATCTGTAATGCGTGTAATTGAGGTAAATAGATTTCTAAGGATCAAATAGGGATTTGAGCCATAAATAAGTTAAATTCTGGATGCAGGATAAAAATTTCAGGGTCTGTGTATTTCCCTGCTTACAGGCAGAACAGAGCATAATCTGATGCCAGAAAAGCAGCTTTCCCTCTTGGGCATGTAGTAAGAGTTGCTCTAGTATGTTTGGGCAAGAAAGACGGTGTCACTTTTGGTTGAAGTGTTATTGTATTTTTCCTGGTAGTATAACTTCTTTGAAGCAGGAATCAAATACTTCTTCATGGTCCAGTATAATGTGTCTGGCAGATACACCTTCACCAAGAGGCTCCTTCTGTTAAGGGTGGAGGAGACAATGTTTTCTCTCTCTACTGCCCCGAGGGTGAAAAAATTAACACCCTTGGCATGAAACCCCATTTTACATGTTGTCATTCTCTGTTCTCAGTGCATGTTGCCCTTCTGTAACCAAGCATTTCCTATGGTAGAAGTGGCAGTGCCTCTGGGAGCAGTGGAGAGATGCTGGGAGATGACAACAGAATGGCAGAAGTTGTCACCTACGTTACTTAGTGCACAGTAGGCAAATAATCAGATCCTGGTGGTTCAAGTGTTGCATCAAACCTAATTTTGACTGAGAACAAACTGGTGATATCAGCAGGCTGTTTGTACACAGGTGCTAGATCGACTACATTGCTTGTTACTTCATAAGAAAACCTAGTTTTAATGAATAGAGAAAATGGGCATGTAAGTGGCCTGCACAGTTCTGTCATGATTCTAATCATGTTCGTGGTAACTTGCAATTACTAGAAGCTACTTCTGAATGTTTACAGTGATCAGTTTCCAGTTCTATAATTACTTCTGTGCTTCCTATGATTTATAGGGTGCCAACTGCTCAGAGCTTGATGGACAGGAAAGGTATGCCACCCTTCTCTGAACAGCAGCAATGATTTCATTCCTATTTTTACCTGAACATTTTCTGTGTATTACATATGTGGCAAACTTTCCTTTCTGTCCTGGGGTCCCAAACCAGGACACTTATAAAAAAAAGAAAAAAAATAGAAATGAGATTTATGCTGACACAGATGTTCTTGCAGAGAAAATAAAGTCAGGATTTAACATTTGCTGCAAAGTTGGGTTTTCTTAGTTACTGGAATCTTCGCAGAGCTAAGAAAGTCAGGATGTGGCTTTTCTTGCAGATCAACCATTGTTTGATTAGCTGAGGCAAATGCTCAGCAGGGCACATTTGCAGAGAAATAATTTTGCCCCTGTTCAGACAGGTTTCAGGGGTCATTCCTGAGTGACACTGTCCCTGCTCCTCTATGGATAGCCCTGGCCATTCTGCAGGTTTATCCCCTGCTTTTCATTTTCTTGTAGTCAAGAGCACATGCAAAGTCTCCTCTTAGAAAGAGATTTGCAACTCATGAAATAAAGACAGAGTTCTGGGAATTAGTTGATTGCTGAGGAAGTGGTCTTCTTACTTGTCCATGCCGGGTTATTGCTGCAAGGTAGTGTCATCTTCCTCACCCAGTTTTTAATACAAACATAACTGAGTGGGGATTTCACAAGGACTTAATGGGGATGCTAGAAGTAAAGTGAAACTGAATGATGTCCCTGAGATTTATCTTTTATGAGTGAACATGCTTAGTGCACACTTTCTCCTTTGCGAAAGGAGATTTCATTCATTTCCCTGCAACAATTTGTTTAGTGTTAGGAATATTGGTGAAAGTACTGGCAGAATTAACATGGAGCTGGTTTGAGGTTCATCTTAGTAACTGGAAATTATCTGTGCACATTGAAGGTTCTTGTAATGCTGGGTTGCTCTAAGAAGGGAGCTCGAAATGAGAGCTTCCAGTACAGAATTAGGGATATAAACTGCAAAACAGCAGGAGAGGTATTCTCTCCCCAGCACTCTCCCACCTATCTTACGGAGTTCTAGACCCAATTAAAAAACAAAGCTATTTTTCCGTGTTTTAGTATGATAAATTAATTTCACCATACTGTGCTTCCTTTGTTTTGTCCCTCATCAGCAGTACCAAAATGTTACTTGACACTAATTTGCATCCTTGTTGGCAGAACCAGCAGAAAGACTCTTGACTGAACAGGAGTGGAGAATAAAACATTTCCTGTCCGAATGGCAATCTTTTTCTAGCAGTATTGTTTGATATCCAGATTATGGAATAAAATAAAATTTGCTGTATTGTTCTCATGAGCTATTTATTACCCCACCTAATGCAATGAAAAGTAATAGAAATAGTTGCATCAAGTTGCCAATCTCAGTAGTAATTTTCCAGCCATGACCAAATTATGCAATATCTTTTTACTAATACTGACTTTCATTTCAATTACTCAGAGAAGCTCTATCCTGCAGCTGAGGCACTGTATTCAAAATGGCTTCCTGACACATTTTTCTTCACTTTAATTGGTCAGACACAAGCCAGGTTTCACACAGGAAACAAACACCGATGCTAATTTTAAAAAGGAAAACAGTGGTTTAAGAGGAATTGTATAAGCGCTGCAAAAGCATCACATTCTCAATTTTAAAATAATCTTCCTGATCTCTTTAGACATATGTAACTGTACACATTTCCCCTGCCAAGCATGAAAATGATGGAATGTACTTAAGTACTGAAATGCTTCCTGCCAAAATCTCACTGGCCCACACAAATCACTGAGATTAACTCTGTTGGTTATAGCGTGGTGCTAATAATGCAAAGTTGTGAGTTTGATCCCCATATGGGCCATTCATGTAAGAGTTGGACTCAGTGGTTCTTGTGGGTCTCTTCCAACTCAGAATATTCCATGATTCTGTGAAATTATAACCCACAAACCACCATTTTCACAAATAGGACCCAGATTTCCTTTCCTGTGTATTGGTACCCCCATGTAATAAGGAGTAAAGCCTTCATAGGTAGCAGGGAATTATGCATTGTACATTTCTTGAAGGCAGGTGTTGGAATTGTAGTTCCTGGTAGTTACTCAGCACTTGTGAGTTCTGATAGCCTTCGTCCAGAATACAGGAATGAAGATTGTGGGAAGAATTATAAGTTTAGTGATGCACATACAATAAAGGCAGGGACAAAAAGTGCACAGGACACATTTCTCACCTGTAGAAAAGCCCATTTCTAATATGTGAGGTATGTAGAGCTTGGTAATATTAATAGATAGAACTTTCCTCCAGGAGACTGGATCTTTCTTAGTTCCTCTTCATATGGGTATGGTGGGACAGATTAGCTACTGTGGTCAAAATTCACATGCAGCAGGAGAAGTTCTCTGCCAGCTGCCAGCTCCCACATAGGCATCAGGCCAAGGCAAGGATGGTCAGTGTGAACATCCACACATAGTCACAACCCTTTCTCACTCTGAAAAACAGAGGTACTGAGATGTCCAAGGACAAAAGAGGGTGTTCAGAGAGCTCTCTATGGAATCATTTTTGGCTCATACGTGCTGATTGCCATTGCTGAAGAAGTTACCCTGCACCTGCAGCCGCAAGAGCAGAGCAAGGACTCATTGGGTATGAAAGCTTGAGGGATGGAGAAACATCTGCCTGCCTTGCAGAAATTTTTGAAGTCTGGAATCTCCAGTGATAAATAGTTTAAATTTAAAATCTGGTTAATACTGTTAAGAGAAACAAACCAGTGCTGTCTTAGGATAGCACCTACAACTTGCACGATGAATATTTGCATTTCTTCCATGGCAGCAAACAGACCATAGCTCATTTATGAACACTTCTCAATATATTGTGGAATGTAAACACACAGGGATTGCCTTGTACAATCCACAGATGGTGCCATGTGTGCTGCCCGTTGAGCCTGTGAGAAATGGGGGCCTGAGCAGCAGAACTCATCTTCCCATGCCAGATCACATTCTCTTTTCTTGTTGTGGTTTCCCAAGCTGCTGCTGACCTTCAAGTCCATGGGCTTGGTGTAATTTCTTTCCTGACATGTCCCCAGCATCTTCCCTGAGCAGTGACCACAGCACAGTTCAGCATGAAGCACTTTGCATGGCTGTCCACTCTATTTCAGACTCAGACCAGCAGCAGAATAGATGTGGTGAGGCTTTCCTTCCCTGAATGATTGAGGGATTTAAGAGTCTCTTTTAAGAGAGATGACAGCCTGGCAGCTGTCTTCTTTGAAACACATGATATACCTAGACTTCAGTAAAGTCTTTGATACTCTTTCCTGTGGCATTCTGCAGGAAGTGTATTCTCATGGTGTGAATTCACAGGGCAAAGAATTGGCTGGATGGTCAGGCCTGGAATATTCCCCAGGGGTCAGTATTGGGTCCAGGACTCATTATTATATCCTCTTAATTATCTTTACTAAAGAGATCTTTATCAAGGGATCAAGGGCAGCGAAGGTGACTTTGTGGATGACACCAAGTTGGTTGGCAGTATTGATCTTCTGGCAGGTAGGAGGGCTCTACAGAGGGATCTGGACAGTCTGGAGTGATGGCCCAAGGTGGATGAGGTTCAACAAAGCTGAGTGCTGGGTCCTGCACTCAGGTCAGAACAACTCCATGCAAGGAACCTCATCTAAAACTTCAGGCTTGGAGATGAGTGGCTGGAAAGCTGCCCACTGAAAAAGGACCTGGGAGTGCTGGCTGACAGTGACTGAACGTGAGCCAGCTGTGCCCAGGTGGACAAGAAGGTCAATGGCATCCTGATCA